AGGGGAAGTCTTGTTTACGGAGCCCTTGTCTCATGATTTCATAGGTAATTTCTACCGGGTCTGGGTGCGGATCAATGTATCCAAACCTTTGAAGAATGCTGTATCCATGGTCAGAGAGGGGAAGAGGCAGATCTACAGAGTCAAATACGAAAAGCTGCCTGACTGGTGTGCCGTCTGTGGTAGGCTTGGGCATCTTTACAAGGAGCATGGGAATGGGATCCACCCACCATCTGCCCTGGTGTTCAAGGACCTGCGTGCGAGCTGGGTAATGCGTACAGGAAGAGGCCCGGGGGGAGGCCGTGGCAATCGTGGAGGCAGGAGAGGAGGCCGTTCTGGTGGTAGGAACAACACCAGGTATGAAGAGGGCAATACTAGCTATGCTGGGACCAAGAACATGGGAAGAACAGGGACGGCTGCAGCGCCGGGGGCTGAGGACGTAGACATGGAAGACGCGACCAGGAAAAGGCTAGCGGCTGGACTGTTAGAAAGGACACAGAACGATACTGCAGGGCAGGGAAGGACTACAGCTGACAATAATCTAGCCTTGGTGCCTGTGGGCAGCTCTGTTGCCAGTCCACCACCGACGAGGGAGTTGAAGAGATCTAAGACTTTTGAAGAAGGGAATGAAGGATCAAACTCAGCAGTTAAGAACTTGGCGGGCTCCTTCGAGGAGCGCCGCCGGGCCCAATGAGTACCATGTGTTGGAACTGCCGTGGCGCGGGCAAAGCCGCGGCGGTTCGTGAGCTTCGTGATTTCGCGAGGCAATTTGCCCCTACCCTGTTGTGCATAGTTGAAACACAAATAGATGGTAATAGGGTAGAAGCTTTAGCTGGTACGTTGGGTTATGATAATGCATATGCTGTTAGTAGTCAGGGCCGAAGTGGTGGCATTGGTCTGTTTTGGAATAATTCAATAAATGTTGAGATTTTTGGTTACTCTGATTATCACTTGGATGTTTTGGTCGAGGAACAGAACCAGGATAGGTGGAGGCTGACATGTGTATATGGGGAAGCACAAACAAATTTGAGGCACCAAACCTGGACAGTTTTGAAGAATATCAGTACTTTGAGCTCCTTGCCATGGTTGTGCGTGGGTGATTTCAACGAAGTGTTACGTCCGGAAGAGCATGCGGGGGTTGGGCAGCGGAGTAATGCTCAAATACAAGCATTCCGAGATACTATAGATATTTGCATGTTGCAAGATTTGGGCTACTCGGGGCACTTTTGGACCTTTGAGAAAAAAGTTGTTGGAGGAAGCTACACAAGATGCAGGTTGGACAGAGCATTAGCTAATGTGGGATGGATGAACAAGTTTCCTATGGCCTCGGTTTCACATCTCACATGCGCCACGTCGGATCACGCACCGATTTTGGTGGAGTTCGGAGATACAGATCGGTTGCAAGCACAGAAATCTTTTAAATACGAGGTGATGTGGGAATCACATGAAGGTTTTAAGGATGTGGTTCTAGCAGATTGGGAAGCTAGCCCTCCATGTCTGTCGGTGGAGGATTTGAAACAAAAGCTGCAAACCATCTCACAGGGCCTAGTTAAATGGAGCAGAGACACTTTCGGCAGCGTCCGGAAGGAAATAAAGAGGCTTAAGAAGGAGTTGGAAGATCTGCGGGCCGATCCAGCAAGGATAGCTCCCTCACATAATGAGTTGAAAATAAACCAAAATTTGATCGAGGTGTATCATCGTGAGGAAGTTATGTGGAGGCAAAGATCCAGGATAGAATGGCTCACTGCGGGCGATCGCAACACGAAGTTTTTTCATCTACGAGCCAGTATCCGGAGGAAGAAAAACATGATAAAAGCCCTCCAAAATTCCCTCAGGGTAGTGGTTGATGATCCGGCTGAACTACGGGCATTGGCCAATGAATTCTATCACAATCTGTACACTTCGGAGGGTGTTCAAAACATGGATGCAGTACTTGATCATGTTCCGAGGAAGGTGTCAGCAGAGATGAATGCCTCATTGTGTGCCCCTTATACGAATGAGGAGGTTAAGACCGCCCTCTTTCAGATGTTTCCAACAAAAGCGCCGGGGCCCGATGGTTTCCCGGCTCATTTTTACCAAAGACACTGGGATGTGTGTGGAGAGGAGGTAACAAAAATTATCTTGAGTATTGTCCGGGGGGAGGAGAGTCCGGAATGCATCAATGATACGGTTTTGGTGCTCATACCCAAGGTAACAAGCCCCACTGCTTTATCTCAGTATAGACCTATCAGTTTGTGCAATGTGTTATACAAGATAGCATCCAAGGTAATTGCAAATAGACTGAAACTCATTCTGCCAGACATTATCTCTGAGGAGCAGTCCGCTTTTGTCCCCGGAAGGTTAATTACTGACAATATAATTTCAGCTTATGAGTGTCTGCACTTTATGAAGCGGTCTAGATCAAAATCAAATAATTTTTGTGCACTGAAATTGGACATGATGAAGGCCTATGATCGGGTAGAGTGGACATATCTGAGGGCTATCATGACTAAACTTGGGTTTGCAGGACAGTGGATTGATACTGTGATGAGCATGGTGTCTTCGGTATCTTTCTCGGTAATGTTCAACGGAGAGAAGCTCGAATCGTTCCAACCATCGAGAGGAATCCGACAAGGAGATCCAATCTCCCCCTACTTATTCTTGATTGCAGCAGAGGGCCTTTCGTGCCTCCTTAAATCAAGTTCTTCGTCATCATTTGCAGGTATTCAAGTGGCCCCAACGGCTCCCACCGTTAACCACTTGTTGTTTGCAGATGATAGCCTGTTGCTATTCAAGGCCAACGTAGAGGGTGCAGGTGTGGCATCAAACTTGCTCGAGACCTACTGCGCAGCTTCGGGGCAGAGAATCAATCATGAGAAGTCTTCAATTTTCTTCAGCAAGTCGTGTCAGGCCACGTTGAAGGAATCAATAAAAAACACCTTGCATGTGCACAAGGAGACTTTGAATGAACGCTATCTAGGCATGCCAACCGATGTGGGACGTTCGAAAAATGGCACGTTCAAATACTTGAGAGACCGGGTGTGGGAGAAGATCAAAGGATGGATGGAGAAGCTGTTGTCCTCAGCAGGTAAAGAAGTGTTAATCAAGGCTGTGGCCCAAGCGATACCAGTCTATTCTATGTCCTGTTTCAGGTTGCCAAGAGGCCTTTGTGAAAATATAACCTCAATCATACGACAGTTTTGGTGGGGAAGCAAGCAGGGGAGAAGAAAGCCCGCATGGGTGGCTTGGGATATTATGACAAGCCCGAAAAGTTTGGGAGGGTTGGGATTTCGGGATATGGAGATCTTCAACTTAGCTCTACTAGCACGGCAAGCGTGGAGGCTGCTAACGGGGGAACTGAGCTTAAGTGCCAGGATTTTGAAAGCTGTTTATTTCCCGGAGGTTTCTATTCTTGAGGCGGAGCTTGGGTCACACCCTTCTCAGGTTTGGCGCTCGATCATTGACGGTCGGGATGTTTTGATACAGGGTACTGTGAAGAGGATTGGAGATGGCGAGTCCACTTATATCTGGAGACACAATTGGATACCGAGGGAGGGAGTAAGAAGACCTATCACATCGCTAACGCAAAACCCTCCGATCATGGTCTCCGAGCTTATAGATAGTACCACGGCATCGTGGAAAGAGGAGCTGATTCGAGCAACCTTTGCTCGGTTTGATGCCGACGATATTCTGAAGATACCACTGTGTACTCGCAAGGTTGCGGACTTTTGGGCTTGGCAGGAAGAACCAAGAGGAAATTTCAGTGTTCGGTCCTGTTACCGCATGATCCTCAGAACAAAGCATGAGCGGGAGGCCTGGCTGAGCGGAGAAGCGGGAACTTCTATTGTGCAGCAGGAGGCGGACAAGTGGAGTACTATTTGGCACATGCAGGTTCCATCGAAACTACGCATGTTCGTTTGGAGATTGGCGAGAAACTCCATGCCCACTATTGATTTACTCAAACACCGCAATATGGCCACCGAGGACAAATGCCCTTTGTGCGGGGCGGTTGACTCTTGGAGACATGCACTCTTTATGTGTCCGATGTCAAGCAGCGTTTGGGCCTTAGCTCCGGAGGAGTTGGTTCATCATCTCGTGGACAGAGTGGAAGAACACCCCAAGGATTGGCTTTTTGCTATGAGTGGAGTGTTGAACGGAGATATGTTTGCACACATGATTGTTATTATGTGGGCAATTTGGCGAGCACGAAGGAAAGCGATCTATGAGGACATCTTCCAATCACCGCAATCTACTTATGGATTTATCACAAGCTTTCTTGATGACTTGAGATATATTAAGGCAAGTGAACCTCGGAGGACCGTAGTCAAAGCTGCAAGACCAACCCAGTGGCAGGCTCCGGCCACGGGATGCGTGAAGATCAATGTGGACGCGGCCGCACCAAGGCAAGCCCGTTTCGGGGCTGTGGGTGCAATCTGCAGAAGCTCAGATGGTCTGTTTTTGGGAGCTTCGGCGCTGATCATAGAGCATATTGGGGACCCGGAAACGCTGGAGGCCATGGCGATCAGAGAAGGCCTTGCACTTGCGGAGGACTTGTACCAAAGGCGTATTCATGTTGCATCGGATTGCAAGAAGGCAGTAGACTCTCTGAAAAAGGAGGACGCATCTCCATATGGTGCTATTGTGCATGAAATATTAAGCCATTCTGCAACTTTTGATATGTGTAGGTTTAGCCATGAGTTTAGGAGCTCAAATTATGAAGCTCACAACTTAGCGAAGCATGCTTTATCTCTCGGGGGTGGCCGCTGTGTATGGTTAGGCCATCCCGGAGATCTTTCTTTCGTCCCTGTAAACATTGTGACGAATCAATAAAAAGCTTCGTGTGTTGTCTCAAAAAAAAAATCAGAAAAGGCCAACCCGACGGGGCACGGCCGCACGGCCGGACAAGCACGGGACTCTTCCCCGTTTTATCTTTCTCCGCCGCCGCCCGCCGCCGCCGCGGCCGCCACCACCAAGCCTCACGTCCAATCTCTGGCCGTATCTGCCAAACTCCAAAACCCCCAAACATGGCACTGAATTCAGCTACAATGGCGCATTCTCTCCGGTGCTGCCCAGCCGGGGCCGCGATCCGTCGATCGTTATCCACGCGCGCCGGCAGTTTCCTCGGATGCCCTAATTATAGCAGCGGTAGAATAACCTTGAAGATGGCTCGCGCTTCCCCTGCCGCCTCCGCCCCCGCCCCGGAACCCTTGCCGGCGTTGCCGCCTTTGCCGTGGTGGGCGGAGGACATGCTTGCGGAGGACGACGATTACTTCCCCCTCACGGACGTGGATCCGGCCGGACAGGGACGGGAAGAGCTGAGTGCTATATGGGGCGCACTCGTGGCCTCCCCGCTCGAATCCACTTCCCTCGCGCTGCGCGAAATCATGGCCGCCGGCAACGTCTTCCGCTGCCGCAGCTTCCACGCGGGCGTCCTCTCTGGTAAGTAGAAGAACGCTCTTTCTTGTTTTCCCTGTCAAACATCGCGATAAGATAACCAATTTGATCGTGATTGCCTCTGTATGGAGTATGGACTAGTCGACAACTGGTGTCATTGTCAAATCCACTGGAGTACCGACGGATTTGGCTCCAAATTTTACTTTGTCATTCACTGACATTGAATATGATCTGATACTGTAGTTTCAGCACTAGTATCTTTTCTTTGGGCACTTCAGAATTAGGATTATTACTAGCACAAGGATGTGAACAAGATTGTCAGATAAGGGTTTTAGACAAGAAACACATATCTCAACTTAGTTATGCTCTTTCTGAGAACAAGTAAATACAATTCTGAAGTCCTTACAAGCAGTGGACATGTTTGAGTAAATTTCATGTCTTTCCTTGCAGGTGCATTGTTAGTACTCGCTGGTGTCTACCAGCTCTGGCAGGTGGCACCTACCCTTTTTCTGGACGTTGTTCTCGGATATATGTTCTACAAGTTAAGTGATTTAGCAGCAGAGTTGAAAAGGAATGGCAGGGCAAATGATATTTGTGCACGAATACAACTAGGTGAGTTCAAAAACACCTCAATTTACATAGTACCTTTTTCAATTTTCAGGAATTTTTTAATGTATATTATTTAAGAAATAAGCATGTACATGAAAAAGGCATTATTCTGAAGAGCTCGACTATGAGGTTGTTTAATAATTGAAACTGTGCTCTAGTTAATTGTTCATGATACTTTAGAATATTCATCATCTGTGACACCAGTGATATCAATGTTTATGTAATCGCTTTCTAATGCTTCACCTATATATTTGCTGATTTGTCTCTAGCAAAGTAAAAAGAAAAAGAAAAAACTAGGTGTTAATTGTGTGTTTTACCTCTGCCTTCTGCTTTTCTGACCAAAGCCCTCACTTAAGCGCAATTAAGTGTTAAGCGTTTTGCTATTGCCTAGAGCCTAGGCGCGCCTTTTTTGACTGTGACCTCTAGTCCCTGCTCTATTTACTGTTGTAGTGTTTAACCTTTGTTGATATCACAAGGTTTGTTTTCCCTGCAGTTCTTCTACTTATATTGTCTTTCAAGGACAACAGTGCTTATCAGGTGCGATATTTCTCCTAGCAAACAGTTACAATGCTCTACACACTTTTCTAGGAAGGCTATGCAATTACATGCTTCACTAATTAATATTTGCTCTGTGCTTGTGCTAGGGTTTCTACGGTGTTCTTGTGGATTTGATCTGGTTAGTATTTGAGCACAACACTTACATTATCTGCTATATATGTTTTCAATGCATTGTAGTTACAACTAGTGATTTTTTACTCTCTTTTTTGACCTGTAGCTCATTAGTTAGGTGCTACAGAAATCAATGCAACTTTACAGCCGGAGAAGCCAACTCCTTTTATTAACTGAAAGTTATTGACTGTGTTATGCTAAGTTACATACTTTTCTGGCGCGGAGACCACCGTCTGTGCATCGCGGGTGGCCGGCTCCCGCCAACTATATCCTAGATCGTGGTGCTCCAGTGCCGGCGGCTGATGTGGTAACATCTTCGCCGACGGCAGAAAAGTTGCACATCGACTGCTCGGTAGTTGTTGAGGCAGAAGACGAAATTGCACATCTCAGTAGAGACTGTCAGGGTTTATTAATTGTAGAAGGGAAAGAAACTACAGAGACTTTACAAAGGTAGGACTACATGGACAGAGGGAAAGGGAGTTAGAGGGATTAGGTGTTAATGAGAAACAGAGAGATTCTATCCAAGCCTTTAAAACTGGATTTTGTTGTCCTTGATATGATGAGTGATGAGATGCAAGCCTCTCTTGAATTGAACCTTCCATCTGCCGAAGCTAGGTGGCTTATGCTCAATGATAAATCCATTTCTCTTTCCAAACATTCCGAGCTGCGCATACTACCAGCTCAATGAAACACTGTCCCTGGAATAGAGCCTTGGTCTTATTGAAAGAGTCTGAGATCGAAGTAACCGTGTGGGGTGGGGGTGGGGAGGGGGGGGCAGAGGCCCAGCTGAGCTTGGCAAAACTCCAACATTTTTGTGCAAAGCCACATTCAAAAAAATGGTGATCTCAGGATTCATGTAAATTTTGCGAGAACAACACACAAGTTCACGAACCAACTCATGATCAGCATATTCTAGTTCTTCAGATATAAATGGGCATTGTCCTGCGAGTTGCTATCTCGTTTAATGCTGATTGCAAATATAGCTACAGATCCATTATTTACTTAAAAATGATGATATCTTTTTCCATAAGGATAATGGTGCTTGTTGCTTCTTATTTTGTGAGAAAACCAGATTTGGTTTTGAAATTAGTAGCATGTTTGGGTTTTAAAATTAGGCGGCACCTGACTCTATTCAGTCAGTATGTGGATAAAGTTCCTACTTTACCAGCTTGATCTTATTAAGGAATGTAGGTGTTCAGTAGAAGAACAGTGTATATTGGGCAAATACCATTGCAAACCCACTTTAGAACATTAGCCTAGATTAGTCAATGGGAGTGTTGCTCCGTGGGCTAGCAGCTTTTGCGCTCACTCAACCCAGCTAGGTTTGAGTCCTTAACTCCCTGCGGTGTTGGTAGTTCTTCTAAATGAAAGCCACAGTCCTGAACTCCCAGATTGAGTTTTTTTATACCAATTTGAGCCTCACAACAGCTCAACATCAGCCTGACAGCGTTAACGCTCTGCTAACCCCTGTTTTAGGCTTTAGGCTTTTTTCTGTTGCTTCTTTCTTTTTTGCCAAGTTTGTAGTTTGTGTCAGTCGGCTTTTGTAGCTTTGTGACTTCTTGGCGTTCTTCTAATACAAAGTACTACGAAACTAGATCTGCGTTTGGGAAAAAAAACATGGGAGTAGTCACCAGCTTCTTGTACAGTACTACAATTCTGAACTATTGCATTTATTTTCTGTAAGGTAATGATACTTTTTTTTTTGAGGGAGTAAGGTAATGATACTTAGAATGTAGAAAGCTGTTGAATATGGACAAAGGCTTGATTTCCCATAAAGAATTCTAATTTTATTCTCTAACATTTTCACTTGCAACCTATAATTGTGCATTTCTTTTTACCATGCTTACCTTTTGTGTTGGAAATAATACTATTGTTTTTTTATCTCAGGACGCTTAATATATATCTATACATCATAACGGTTTACTACGAATTCGTCGGCATAAAGCACCTCAGAATCTATTGGCTTGGGATTTACAGAACTCTCCGCACCAAAGGTGGACTGATGAAGGTGGTGAAGCTTACCATCCGTGATATGTTTGGATGGGTCAATAAGCTCTACCAGGATGATGCAAATGATGGGTGAAAAGGGATGACCCAAATGGATTGGTCGCTCGTTTAGTCAGTTTGTTGCTAGCTTTGTTTGCTGCAACGAACTTATACTGTATTTATACCAAAGTAGATAAGTTTGGTAACAATGAAATGTGCATGTAGGTATGGGACCTCTATTGCTGGTGAAATGTTCTGATGTGGGAGATTTGACTCCTGGTTTATTTTTGTAGAAATACCCCTCATCTTTTGATTGGCCGGTCAATTCATATTTGGATCTTTTTTTTTAATCATGCATGTTTGGACCTCTATTAGTCGTGGAAATGCTCTCCCCCACGGAATGATTTCTATTAGTCGTGACATCGTTAGCTCCTGCTCCTCCTGTAACAAAATAATTTAGCTGTGGAACGTCATCTTCAGTTACCTGCATGTTTAGGTAATATCTTAATAAACAGTGTATCAGAGAAAAACTTTCAACTAAAACAATACTGAGTTCTTTAATATATGTTATATGCTTGGAAATTTGATGGGCTGTTTTAAAATTGATGCTGGGATTATATATAAACTTTACTTGTGTATTACCAGAAGGTATTTCTAAATTGCTCACTCCCCAAAACTTTGGATGAGAGAGTGAAACCTTTTATGAAGAAGCTAATATCAGTGAGCCAGAATGCTTTTATCAAAGAAAGGAGCATTATGGATGGAGTGATGTCTTTGCATGAATTTTTACATGAGGCTAGGGTGAGGAAACAACAAGGTGTAGTGTTGAAGCTGGATTTTGAGAAAGTGTATGACAAGGTTAATTGGAATTTTCTTTTCCAAAGTTTGATAGACATGGGTTTTAATGAGAAATGGGTGGATTGGTTTCAAACAATGGTGAAAGGGGGGGGGGTACCTTGAATGTGAAGGTCAATGATATTATTGGGAGAAATTTTGGTAGCTTTAAAGGGGTGAGAACAAGTGACTGGCACATGAAGCCGTTGTAACATGTTAAAGAATGGTACAAAAGGCACAAGGGCAGATGACACCATCATCCTTATGCAGGATGAAGTGGAGGGTGTTAGGAACATGAACCTGTTGTTGTATCTCTTTGAACAAATGTTAGGATTGAAAATCAACTTTCAGAAGAGTGAGGTGATTATGGTGATGCGTGTTGAGGACAAGGGCAGTTTGTATGCTGATATGTTGAATTGCCACATGGCTCATGACCCATAAAGTACTTGGGAGTCCCTGTTTTTGGCATCAGACTGCATGTGGAGGATTGGGTGCCAACTGAAAAATGCATGTGTAAAGGGATGGATGGTCGGGAAGCTGGAAATTTATCCTTGGGTGGGAGAGTTACCAGGATAGGTGCTTGCCCTACTAAGTATGCATGTCTTCTGCTTCTCGATGTATAGATTCCCTAAGACTAATTTGGGAAGAATGGATAAAGCCATCGGAAAATTCTTTTGGCGGAGAGGCAGCATAAAGAAAAAATACCATATGGTAAAATGGGTTCTAGCTTGTAGACCTAAGAGAAAAGGGGGTTTAGGGATCAAAGAGCTGAAGAAATTTAATGTAAGCCTACTTTGCAAATGGTGGTGGAACATGGAAAACAAAGAAGGCTTGTGGCAGGAAATTCTCAGGAAAAAGTATATCATTGGTCATGGGGTTAGGCAGGTGAGATTCTGCCAATGACTCTCCATGTTGGACTGATTTGCTCAGGATCAGGGACATATACCTGCAAGGGAGAAGAATGAAGGTGGTCAATAGAAAACAAACTGATTTCTGGAATGACTGTTGGGTTGGCAATGGAGCTCTATGAGTTCAATTTAGTGATTTCTATGAGATTTTCCAGGAACAGAAAAATTTTGTTAGAGAAATGGCCGATATGAATTGGAATCTGAGTTTTAGGAGATGGCTAAGGGAAAAATCAGATAATCCAGTTGAACAGGTTGAGACGAATTCTTCTTCCTGTGGAGATCAGTGATAGGGGGAGGATATCCCTATTTGGACTTGGAGTAAGAAAAAGCAGATCCGCTGTCAAATCTGTTTAGCATCGTCTGTTTGATATGCATCTTGATAGATCTTTCAAACATTCGTGGAAGTCTGAAGTCCCTTTGAAAATCAAAATCTAGCTCTGGTTAATTTGGCATAATGATATAGCCACTAAAGACAACATGTTAAAAAGAAAATGGACAGGTGACCTGTGTGTCAATATTGTCATGATAATGAAAGCATAACCCACATGTTCTTTGGTTGTTCTGCAGCCAAGTATGTTTGGAGTATGGTATGCAAATGTGTTGGTGCCGTTTCTATAGGCCCGCATGTTTTTCTCAATATTTCTGGTGGATCCCCAGTTTCTCCCCAATAGTAGAAATTTACAAATTGTTGGAGTTGCTGCTTTGTGCTAGGCCATCTGGAAGCTCAGAAACAAAGTCTGTTTTGATAACAAACTCGTTAGATTGCCAGCTGAGTTTGTTTGTTATGCTTGCTTCTTTTTAACATGATGACAATATTGTTAAATGATGGTGATCGAGTGATGCCGGAACAAGGCATGAATATGCTACAAAGGGAGAATGCCCTCCGGCTAGAAGATGGCGGGGGGCAACAAGTTGCGGCTAGAATATGGAAGATACTCAGGGTAGCAAAGTGTGTGTGGGTGTGGGTGTGGGTGTGCACCTGCGTGTGCCTTTTTGCTACGTTGTATGTGCATGTCATGTCTATGCTTTGTTCCATCGCGGGTGTGTGTGGTTGGTGCCTCCTCCTACAATTCAACATCTTTGGTGGGCATGAATAAAAGAGGAACCCTCCAAGAAGACTCTTTCCCTCAAAGGATGGAAAGACAATTTGCACTCCAAAAATGGAAGGAGGCTTGGGAATCAGAAATATACAAACAATTAATAAAAAGCCTGATTTTTTCAGCAGCTTGGAGAATTGCAGAACAACCACGTAGCTTTCTAGCACACTTAAGGCAAAATACTTTCCTAACACGTATATTTGGAAAGCGCAATTCAATGTCCCAAAGTCAGAATTTTGGGCTTCAGTCCTTAAGGTAAGACATATTCTTCTAAATAACAGTGTTTACCAGATTCCTGATGGAAATTCTTCTAGTTGGAGCTCCCCTTGTTCCTCATTGGCAAGCAATATATGATCATTTGAGAATCCAACCACGACACTATATATACCCTGCTCAAGTAGTGGACTTGTGGATCCAAAACTAAAAGATTTGGGATGTCGGTCTTATATACGACTTGTATGGGCAGGAAATAGCAAACAACATTGTGCAAGTACCAATTATTCAATAGGACGGACCTGATATTTTCTGCTAGAAACTACATCCCTCAATAAAATGCATGTCCGAATATGCGTACAGGGCATGTTTGCAAAAATTGCAACAACATAGATCATGTATGCCTAGACAGGTTCCTCGGGAAATTAAGCAGGTACTGAAATAGGTATGGAAAGATAAGATGATGAGCACCTAGGGAGCAGCTCACAGACCCAGCATACAACAAGCTAAAGAAGATCGACAATGAGCACCTAGCTTCGGGATGACAAGGCCCTCTTGCACACACGAAGTCTAGTAGGAGAATGCCGGCGCGGAAGAGGAAGAATAGACGCCGCCGAGCAGGCCAGCCATCGCCAAACACCAGGGCCCTAGCGAAAAACACTACCATCTAGATCCATCTTCGAAGAAGGCCCCTGCCTCCTCGCCTGGCTCGGAAGGCGTTGCACCGTCGCACCGTCGACAGATGGACATGTTCATCCTAGAACCTGGATGGACGACATCGATGGAAACCACAGGAGCGGAACCAGGCAGTCCCGTCTTGTCGCCAACTTCTCACCTGGAGCAGAACATCGCCGAAATCCAGAGACCCGAGCACACAAAAGACAAGCCGCCAGGATGAACGAAAGAGCAACAGCCAGGACCAAGATCAAAATTATAAGCTTTGGCTCTACGGCTCGCTGGAGTGACACCAACAGAAGGGATCCCTATCCCCTCCTGTCCAGGAACCACGGGCACCAGAGAGGGGTACTACAGGAGCATGGAGAGCACCCAACCATCATGGTCCCTCACTAGGGACGGCACCGCCACCACTGGAGAAACACTATCGCCGCCGACACCCACCACACACATCGCAGCAAAGTCCAACAACCATCCTTATTCCCTAAGTGGCGCCTTCAGGAAGGATATGGCGCCAAGGGCGTCGCCGCTGCCCAACAAAGTTGGGGTTTTCACCCGGGAAGCCAAGGGGAAGGGGACGAGGGCAATATACCTGACGAGGCCTCCAGGAAGGTGACTGGCGCCTGCGGGCGTCACCGCCGTTGAAGCCGGCAGAGCTAGCTTGGGATTTCTCCCGGTCGAATGCACCCGTCACTGGCACCCACCTAGAGGAGGAATGTCATCTACGACGAGGCAAACTAGAGCTGGGGGGTGAGAGTCCGCCGAATCAACAGCGGAAGGGAGAAGGCGGCCAGATCTGGCGGCGTCGGAGCAGAGGCCACCGCCGCGCCCTGGCTCGCATCACCGCAGAGCTTGCTGCCCGCACGGCCAAGATCTGCGACCCACGTCGGCGCCACCTTGCGCCGAGGTCCAATGGAGCCCAACCAGCCGGGGCCGCCGCACCGGATCCCGAGTCTCCCCGCGAGCAAGACAGGGCAGCAGCGAGAGGAGCGAGAGGCCCCGCCGCCACCTTCATCAGCAGCGCCCCAGGCTTGGCCGGCGGCCGCTTCGGGCGGCGGCGAGGGGAGGGAGAGGGGGAGGAGGGGCCGGCGGCGGGGCTAGGGTTTGAACCCCCGAACCGCCCGAGAGGGGCGACGCGAGGGAAGGGGGGCAGTGTACTGATGCTTCTTAGTATAATACAGTGCTCGGTCGAGAAGAAGATGGGATGCATCTCTTCTTTGATTGTCCTTTTGCAAAAGCAGCTTGGATTGCACACCCTTGGTTTATCAAATCTGAATTTCTTTCCAATAATCATGGCAATATTGTAGAAATTATTGACACCCTTCTTATGGAAAGATAGAAATGACACACTCTTCGGCAAGAAAGAAACA